GATATTATCCTATCACTGACAGCGTTGTACTTCAGGATAGATCTTGAAATATTCTTTTTGATGATGAATGCAACACCATTCCTCTTCAAGTTGTCATTCCCGGCATAGTAGACCATATGATTGTCTGATTCAAAATGGCCAATACCAGTCCATTTCAGCTCACTAATGCCTAGGATATTGATGTTTATGTGTTCCATTTCATTGTTGATGATTTCAAATTTTCCTAGATTCATACTTTGTACATTCCATGTTCCAATTATTAATGGATGTTTGCAGCTGTTTCTTCTCATTTTGAGTTGTGCCACATCAGCAAATAAAGGTCCGGAAAGCTTGACTCCATCCATGTCATTAAGGTCGACTCTACTTTGAGGAGGTAGCTCTTCCCCAGTCGTCTTTTGAGTGCCCTCCAACCTGGGGGGCTTATCTTCTGGCACTATATCAGACAATGTTCGGCTGCTATTCATAAGGTTTTCACTGGCTAATTCTTTTCAGAAGTAGACTGCCAGGTGCTTCTTCCTAGTCTGTCTTAGTCTGGAAGCTCAGCTGAAACCTGTCTGCCATGAGTGACCCTGCTGGTGTCTGAATACCAGTGGCGTATTTTCCAGCATCACAGCAACACACAAGCCCCCACAGTATGACAAACTGACAGACACATCGGGGAGACAGGATTAGAGGTGGTTACGTTAATGAAACAGGACTTAATCTACAGGATCAGGTTGTATCTTGAGTGAATCTCTTTTGAGATATAGAAGGAGTGAGCAGAGAGGAAAGAGATCTCATTTCTACCAAGCAAGAAGAGCCAGGAGCACAGCGCATCTTTTGGTGCTGGGCTCCCTGTGCTGAGAAGCTCCTAGACCAGGGAAAGATTGATGACCAGTACCTTCCCCCAGAACCAACAGAGAGAGAAAGCCTTCGCCAGGAGCTGGTGCTTTGAATTCAGACTTCTAGCCTCCTAAACTGTGAGCGAATAAATTTCTGTTTGTTAAAGCCATCCACTTGTGGTATTTCTGTATAGCAGCACTAGATAAATAAGATAGGATGCAAGTGGCAAGCCCCTGGCAGGTATGTGGGATTCAGGAGCCATCTCACTCTGAGAAAGTAGGTTGTCAGGAGGAAGCCAATTTGAGACTTGATGAAGCAAACCCCCCCAACCTGAATCTGCATGGCACAAGTAGAGCTTTGGTTTTCATGTACAATAAAAACTGCCAGGCCCACAAAGCCCTGTGGATTTTAATAATCTGGCTCAGAGCCACTAAGAATGGATGATGGACATTTTTATGGACTCAGTATTGAGTTGTGGGTGCCAGCAGCCAAGTTAGCAGGTGTGGAACGTTCCCTGCCTTTGAGTAGAATCCAAGGCATTTAATTATGGGTAAGCAAACTGCTTCCTGATTTACAGGGAACAATTTGGGAATGCCACTTAGTGAGCCATGCCATCAAGATAGCCATTTAAGACACCATTAAGATAATGGAACAATTATTGCCTGAAAGAACAAAATGTATTTCCCAAAGTCCCAAACTGGCACAGGCCATTTCCCTCCCCCTCCCTGAGCCTGCAACAATTGCCATGGCCACCTATACTTCCTTCCCTGCACTACTCAGTGTTCCTCACCTCCTTCCTCACCTGGTCCTGTCTTCTGCCCCCTCCTTGGATCCTGAAGTGCTTAGTACCTCCCACAGGACACCTGGCACACACAGGCACTTGGGTGAAAGTTTGCTACCGCAAGCAGTGGAGTTGCCTCTCCACACTCCACAAGTGTTTTCAGGCCTGTCCTTGTGTATTATAACCCAACATCACTTATTTTAAAATGGCTGAGGATTGAGGCTTCTCAGACAATGTGATTTGCCTGTGGCCCGCATTGCCTTAGGAGAAGGCAGCCAAGGAGGTTCCTCCTTATGTTGTCACAGATTAATTAGCATTTTCTCTCTCCTTCACACACCTTCCTGGAGGGCACTGGAATAAGGTGGTGGGTTGGGTAGCGGTTCCTGGAAGATAGGCCTTTAATCTGGCACCTGAAACTACCTAACCTGAGACTAGCCCAAAAGACTACTGCTGTGTCTCCTCAGCTCCGTTTCTTCATTAGCGTCACCAACCATACCTTTTCATACACCTCACCTCTGTGTTTTATGTCCCACTCTGTCTGCTGGGACTCAGCCTCATAGCAGGGCTTGCCTCACCCTCTGCCTGCCCTTCCCTTCCTCCTCTCCTGGACGGCTGCTGCTGCTGCTGTGGGGACAGCTGGGAATAGGTCATGAAACTGGAAAGGAGACATGCACATCTTTATTTTAAAGTTCTATGTGAAAAAAATGTGCATTAGTGGAGTTGCCAAAACTAGGAGCAAGGCCTTAGCAGGTAGACCTTTGAGAAGCAGTGAAAGCAAGTCCTAAAATTTCAGTGGTGAATTTTTCTCAAGAACTTTACAGAAACATATAAAACAGCAAACTGTCTTGATAAAATAGACTGATAGAAACTAAAATCATCCAGATTTTTCCTCTGCTCAGTACTAGAAGCCCACTACAGTGGCACACTATATTGAGGTCCCCAAAAAATGCCTAAAGAACCAGGCAGTTAACACAATGATTATAGCAAGATCAGAGGGGACAGGCAAACTGCAGAGCTCATGGCTATCTGAGGAGGACACAGGCTAGTCTGCTCCAGCCAGTTCTTGCCAGGAAACGTGGTACTATTATTGCCAGATCTGATTTTTTAAGAGAAGCTTAAAATCCTAAGTGTGTGTGTGTAATCTGCCAGTTTAAAAATGGTGGCTCAATTTTTTAAAATGCAGACCAAACAAAACAATTTTCCACCTCTGTCCTAGAGCTGGAAATTTATTCAGGGTGAAGAATTTATTCAGGGTAAAGTTTAAGAAAAGATGACAGTGAAAAATAGTATTATCAGTCAAGTATTCAAAAAAAACTAAACCCCTTGCCGTCGAGTCGATTCCGACTCATAAATACCCTATAGGACAGAATAGAATTGCCCCATAGAGGTTCCAAGGAGCACCTGGTGGATTTGAACTACTGACCTTTATGGTTAGCAGCTGTAGCACCTAACCACTATGCCACCATTTAGAGTTTCCTTAATACTGCAGTGAGAGCTACCGTAGAATAGATGCCCTCCCATCCAAATGCAGTAACGCTTTCCATATACATGCTAGCAACTCACAATTTAAATTCTTTGATGTAATTTGTATGGTTCAGTCTCCTTCATCCTGCTTCCCCTTTTTAAGGTCAGATTGAAATTTCAAAGTGTCCATGGGGTTTTGTTCGAAAGCTTGCAGCTTACCTAACCCTAACCCTAGGTCAAGTCTGTCTTTTCTTTCAGAAATGTGCATTCTTATCTCCAGACAGTTTTCAGCAGGTTGGGGGTAGGAAGAGATAGATAAATAACAGGGGCTTTCCTCCAACCTCTAGCTAGGGACTTTCTAAGACATGGACATCAGAAAAGGAAATGTGGTTCAAAGTTGCACCTGTGTAGAGGACCTCATCCTCCACCTGGCAAATGACTCATATTCCTGCTAAAATGAGGATCCTTCCTGAAATTTCTTTTTGGAGATCTGGATGTAAACCTATGCCATTCTCTTGTAAATAATCCTGTAGAAATAAATTGGAAACGCCTACCTGAAGAGATAGAAATCCCTGCTCCCAAATTCCCGGTAGCACCTCCCTTTCCCAGTGCTGCTACCCTCTTCCCTGGAGGCCTAGATGTCCGGTGCCCACTCACCTTCCGAGGCACGAAGGGCCATGCAGGCAGCTAAGGCCACGAAGGCGAGTCCTGTCTGCTGCATTCCTGCCTGCCCTACCAGGTTTAACAGCACCGCAGGTGAGGCTTTAAGACCAGGAAATGAGACTAAAGGTGCAGAGAAAGCGTGGAGAAAAAAGTAAGCCAGGAAGTCCCGCTCAGGGCGGTGCTCAGAGAATCCATTTCTCATTTCTAAGACAAGTCCTCTGCCAGGCTTCCGACTTCTGCTCACATTACCTGGGGTCAGGGGGTGTCAGTATCACGGTAGCCTTGTGCCTGGCACCTGGAGAGGTCATTTTGAGTTGGGGATGTGCATCAGAATCACTTGGGAAACTTTCGAAAAACATAACTATACATGAATCCCTCCTTAGACTTATAAACCAGAATTCTGGTTTAGGGGACCAGTAATTTGAATTTTCAGAAAGCTCCACAGGTGATTCTGATAGACATCCCCTACTGAGAACCTTTGCATAAAGGAATCAGGGTTTGTAAGTAGCTTGTGGAAACTACAAGCTTCTGGGGACAAGGGTGACAAATCATTAACAAATTATCTCCAGGGAAAGATATGGAAAAAATTGATCCTGTTCTGGCCCTGGTTTGCAGCCAAGTTGTTTTCATTCAAGAAAAAAAACCAAGCACCTTTCACTTTAAAGACAGAGTCCCTGGGTAGTGCAAATGGTTAAGCACTTGCCTGCTAACTGAAAGGTTGGCAGTTCAGTTCCACCCAGAGGCACCTTGGAAGAAAGGCCTGGGAATCTACTTCTGAAAAATCAGCCATTGAAAACCCTACGGATCACAGTTCTACTCTGACAGATATGAGGTCATCATGAGTTGGGTCAACTTGTTGGCAGCTGGTTACGTGCAAGACACTGTTGGACACTGAGGACAAAACAGTAAGCGAAGGGGTCACTGTCTGCAGGGAGGACAGACAATTAAGCAAGCCATAACAATAAAAGCTGGTAGGAGCCAACAGAGTAAGTACAGTGCTTTGGGTGATCATAGCAGGGGCATTTCACCCAGCCTGGGAATGCACCAGCTCTGAAACATGCCTTTTAACTGTTGCCTAGTTTAGAATTTCATGGTATGGAGGTATCATACTTTATTTAACCAACCTCTTAATACTGAACATTCAGAACGTGTGTGTGTTTTTCACTATTACAAATAACTCTGAAGAAAATCACTTATATAATTCAACACTTTACGCTCATTCTTTAGAATAAATTCCGAAAAGCAGAATTGTAAAATAAAAAGGTATGGTCGTTTGAAAGGCTTTTGACATATATTCAGGCTGTTAAAGCTTAAAAAACGTACCTATGTTTTTTTGTCTCCAACACTTCCCACGTGTCTCCAGCATTCTGCAATGAGGGCTCTAGTATACAAAGCCTTGGTGGCGTAGTGGTTAAGAACTTGGCTGCTAACCAAACGGTCTGCAGTTCAAACCCACCAGCCAGTCCCTGCAAACCCTGTGGGGCAGCTCTACTCTGTCCTATAGGGTCACTATGAGTCGGAATCGACTCAACTGCAACAGGTTTGTTTTTCTGGTTTTATCACAGGCTTTAAAACGGCTCTGTAGAGCACACGGCGGGGCCCTTTCATTCTCTGAAGATCCTTTTCCCAAGTCAGGATTTAAGGACTGTCTTGTGCAGGGCCTTCGAGGCCCTCAGTGCACCTCGTGTAAATAAGAATAGGCGTCCCTCTCTGGGTGGACGCAGCCTCGGGATCCACAGCTTGGCAAGCAGAAGGTGTCTGTGCGGAAACCAAAAGTGCCTTTCTGCTATGAAAAAAAGAATGTGTGTGTGTCCCTTCCTCTGGTCAGATGTATGACTTGGCAAGTGAAGCTCAGCCTGTGTTCCTGACCTCACTCCTTCCTCAGCAGGAAGCCTTGGGCAGTACACAAACTGCACAACCATCCACAGCAGCCTGATCTTGCCGTTTCTTCTCTGATCTTGTTGCCCTTGCCTGGACCATCCTTCCGGCCTCTTCCACCTTATCTGGAAAGCTCCTACTCATTTGTTAAAGCACAGCTCCAATGTCACTCTGTGTTTCGCCCTGCTTCCCTGGCCTCCACAAGGCGCCCCTCTGCTCAGAGCCTTCCACGCTGGGCCTCGAGAGCAGGGACCACTTCTCTTAGCTTTGCCTCCCTACTGCGCAGCTCAGGTCTGACACACCACAGGTGCTTCATTCCTGCTTGTGAAAGGAACGCCCGATGAGTTGCTGTTAGTGTACTCACCACCTTACATTTTTATAAGCTTATATTCTGGCTAAAAAAACTGACGTTTGTTCAATATCTACATGAATGTATGATTATGTTTATATTCATACAGGTTATATACTATATGAAAATATAAACATCATTTCTAGCCAAACTACCCAATCAAATGTTAACTCCTATTTACCATTTGGCTTTATATCCTTTCAGATCTTTTTTCATTCATTTGTAAGTATATTTTATTTTTTACAAAAATAAAGTCATATAATACTTTGTGTTTTGAGATTTTTTTTTCAGTTATGTAATAGATCAGGACTAGCCCTCTATGGCCATACCCAAGATCTGTATCATTTCTCCTTTCAATGGTTTCATAGTATTTATTAGATGGTTTTGTTAGAGTTTGTTGACCTGGTTCCCTAATTGCTGGCTAGTTAGGTAGTTGGGTCGTGTTCATTTTGGTATTTTTACTATTACTGAAATGCTATAATAATCAGTCCTTGTACACTTTGTACACCCATCTGAATATTTTCTTAAATAATTAGAAATGGAACTTCTCAAAGGGTATTCCCATTTAAATCACTTTTTAATAATATTGACAAATTATCTTACAGTATTGTAAATTCCTCTCTCCTCCAACAGAGTAGCCCTCCGCGAGGGCAGGATCTTTTATCTTCTTCATCTTTATGTCTCCAATGCCAACCTCAGTGCTCAGCAGCTGGTAAATGCTCAGTAAGTATTTGTTGAATGATGCCTCGAATAAGCGGAACTTAGTTACATGAATGAATAAAGTTTTGCCAGCGTAGTCATGGAAATCTACATTTGGTACTCTTCGCCTCTTTTGAGTATCTATAGTCTAACTGGTAACAACATTTCAAATTCGCATTTCTCAGAAGGGATCTTTTACCTTACTGAAAACACAAGTTGCACACTGAGTTGTTCCTGAAACACAGAGGATGGAGGTTATAAAATTATATATCACTGGGGATTTATAGGCTTGAAACAAGGGCTAAGGGCAGATAGTGTGTATGTGTGTGATGTTTCAGAAATCTGTATTATTTAGAGAAACAAAATAGGAATTTTCCAGCTGAGACAGCTTAAGAGCGCCAGGACAGGTCCCTCCCAGTGCTGTGGTTTCATGGTATATACTCTGTAATTAAATGTGTGATGCAGGTGGGCATTGGGTATGCCAAAGCAAACAGGGAGAAATGAATGCACGACTAATCAGTAGGAGCAAAGTTTGAACCAAGAGTCAAAGTAGGGAATTTCCCTTGCAGTAAATGTCTTATTCCTGGTTAACACTGTAGTTTCCTTTTCAGACTTAAATTTATAACTTTTTTTTTAAGCATTCATGCTTTCCAGATATAGGAGTAATCTAAATTCATTACAATGGCACTATTGTCAGTTTTATTATGATGCTGAGGCACAGGAGTCAATTGACTTGCCGAAGGGTGGTCAAGAAACTGGGAATCATAGAGCAGGACGGTGTCTCAAGAGTTCGGCTAGTAAACAGGTAAGAATGCCCTCAGGAAATTTGAAAAACAAGAGGAATGAGGGGCAACTAGTCCTAACATACATTGTAAATCCACGATAACTAAACTAGTGTGATGCTGATACATAAATCTAGAAGTAGAAACTATGCCTGCAGGAATTTAATACGTGGAACAGTTAGCATTTTACATCAGAGACAAGTGTGGATTCTTCAGTGAGTGGTTTTGAAACAACTGGCTAACTATATGGAAAAAGATAAAGATGAAGCTTTAAATTCCAGATATAGTAAATATTTAAACAGTTAAAATATAAAAATACTCAAGGAAATAAGAGTTTTTTTTAAGTTTTGGAGCAGGGAAGGACTTTCTAAGCAGAAAACAAGACTCAGAAGCCATAAAAAAAGAAAAAAAACGAATAAAAAATTTGACATGCAAAAGAAGTAAAATTTCATCATAAAAAAAAACTCGATAAAAGACAAATGGCAAAAAGTTGTGAAAAGAGGGGATATTTGTAAGACACTGCTATTGTTAGTTGCTGCTGAGTCAGCTCCAACTCACCTTGACTTTATGTATAATGGAACTAAAGGGTGCCTAGTTCTGTGCCATTTTCATGTTCATTGGTACATTTGAGTGCGTTGTTGCAGCTATTGTGTCAATCCATCTCACTGAAGGTTTCCCTCATTTTTGATGATCCTCTACCAAACATGATGTACTTTTCATGATTGGCCTTTCCTGATGATGTGTCCAAAGTAAGCAAGCTGAAGTCACTTGTAAGGAATATTCTGATTGTATTTTCTTCCAAGGAACATCCTGGTTGTATTTTTCTAAGACGGATTTGTTCATTCTTTTGGCAATCCATGATATATCAATATTCTTTGCCAACACCACAGTTTGAATGCATCAGAATTCTTCTGTCTTCCTTTTTCATTGTCCAGCTTTCACATATATATGAAGCAATTGAAACGACCATGCATGGCTTGGGTCAGGGGCATCTTATTCATCAGAGTGACACTGGACAATTTTTGTTGTTATCCATAATGTTTTCATTGGCTGATATTCGGAAGTAGATCTAGAAGCCTTTCTTCCTAGTCTGTCTTAGTCTGGAAGCTCTGCTGAAACCTGCCCACCATGAGTGACCCAGCTGATATTTGAAATGCCAGTGGCATAGCTTCCAGCATCATAGCAACAAGTAAGCCACCACAGTACTGTTACCGCAATAACGCGGATTGGAGCCGCCTGCCACAATAGCCAATTCTGAGACACGGGTGAGGTAAGCAGCAAGTTTTATTATATATCAATATATAGGAGACAGAGGGGAATAGATTCCTCCAATAACCCATCTCCCCCACTGGAGATCGGCCGAAGGCTTTTATAGGGACAGGATTATAGGTCTTAGAAGTTTGTGTTAGTTCTCTCTTGAGGTGAT